AAAAGGTTAAAAATTAAAATAAAGACTTACTATGAAATAAGAGCGATCGCTTATAGCTGCCATGGCTTTCGTGATCATATAATTTTTATAAAAAGTAGTGAAAAGTTTTTGCTGGCCTAGTTAAAAAAGTCAAAATATCAGTAATGATCTTAAGAAAAAGCAAATGCAAGATAATAAAACCTAGTTACGGGTCGCGTTCTATCTCAGAAAATCTAGGTCGATATTTATGTGGCGGAATATTTATTAATTGTATAATTTAGTTCCGTCGACTATAGAGCATCTCTACTATATTTTGTTTCCTAAGCAATATATTGAACGAAATCTATACGTAATATGCTTTTTAGCAGGCTGGTCGATTATGCGTTAAAGCTGCTTGACGTCGGTAACAGGTAGCTAGGTAATGCCTGTTTCTTGATTAACAAATAGTTGTTCCGTTTCCGCTTAAGCTTCGTATGAAATAAATGGAAAACAATTTATAGCTGTTTCAACATAATACGATTTAAAAGTTCATTCATTATAAATAGTTGCAAGTTGCCAAGCAAGTATACATTGAAAACAGCTATATAAAATATTTAAATGGATTGTAATGAAGACGAAACGTTTCTTGAATATAATAGGAGCTAGAATAACACAGTGTTGACACATCTAATAATATGGTAAACATTATTAACCTCTTAGCTGTTAAGCGGCCGAACTCGGTCGCGGCGATATTCCGTCAAATACCAAATAACCGAATTCGGCCGCACCCACCCACATCACTTTAACCCATAAATAGTTATGGATAGAGACTACTTTTCTATGAAAAAAAAGACGTGTGGCACTCGGGGACTGTCGCGGTAAAGCTATTGCATAGCATTTTGTATCAACTTATGCAATTATCATTATTCATTTATTTTATTTATGCAGTATTTCTTTTTCTTTGATATTAATTTAAGTTACTTAGGTTAATCCAATCAAATTCAACCAGATTTAACCGAACCCGCGTTATAACGAACTCACTATTTGTGAAAAATACTGTATCACCGGACCGCGTCGCAAAAAACTCAGGTTCGCGCAGTACATACGTCAGGGCGGCCGTACGGCAATTATATTAACAAGACGCGCAACTACTCAGTTCCACGCTCCACGGCAAGATTTGTCACTTATTATTTATTGTCCAATTAATTGTCTTTAAGTTCAAATGGCACGCTCTATTAACATAAGTCTAAGACAAAACAAGGAGACTTTCAATATATGAACAACCCGGCTTCGCGTTTGTGTTAGTAAAATAAGCTCTTATTAAGTTAGCTAAGAGTTTAAATTAGTGTAAGCTATACGCAATCCTTGTGGCATAATGAATGTAGGTAGTATTTTATTGACTCCCATTGTCTCGGCCGACGCGACGGTTGGACCTAAACGTAAACAGATGACGCTTTCTAACGATAATGAATATAATATTATAACAGTCAATGGTTCATTATTCTAATGTGTTGTAAGATTAAAAATATATAATGAAATATATTATCTGTTGTATGTTATAACGCCCAACTTTAGGGGTGACCGACCGCGCGCACAAATGCAGCTAGCCTCCCCCTCCCGCACCACACTAATCGTCGCTTCACACCGCTTGAGATAAGACGATCTACTATCAGGCGCTAACAAACCCCCGTCCCGGACATAAGGACCTATGTCCGCGAGTAAATTGGCAATTAGAAGACGCTTTGTATTGTTGGTTTTTACAAAAACGATCAACTGGGCAAATGATATCTGGCCCTTTGCTTTGTGAAAAAGCATTACAGTTAAATAAAAAATTAGGTGACGGCGGCTCGTTTGTCGCAAGTAACGGATGGTTATATAGATTTATATCTCTTCATGGAATTTAATCAATGTTTATTAAAAAATAATAATTTCTTAATAAACATTGATTTTCGTTGAAATTGTTGTTTTTAATAAACACATAACATTATGTATGTACATATGTACTACAAATGCACAAAACCCGCTTTTCTTTATACATTCGATCATCCGGATTTTTGATTATCCGAATCCCTAACGGCAACAATTAGTCCGGTTAATCGAGTATATATATATACATATTGAGAATCTAAATTGAGAATTTAAACTATACGCGTGTGTGTGTTTGTGTGTATATAAAGAGGGCTACTTTTAATATCGCTCATTTTAATATCAAAAATTTAGGTTATCTTTATAGCAGTATTATATTTTCAATTCAAAATTAGTACTGCATTTGTGATAATAATAAAATGTAGGTATGTATATAGAGTACTCACTCATTTTCTTTCACTATTTTTTCGTGACTTTCTTCATTAATAATAAACGCACTTTGTTCATTCATATTCAAAATATCAAAACACTTTATACACAAACACCGTGTCGAAGACTGAGGAAAAGAAACGACGTTAGACCATCGTTAGACAATGCACGGCCTTCAAGCCACACCTCCGTGCCCGTCGGAGAGCGTGAGGTTTTTTTCGTTACGAAATTTCTGGATTTTCCCGCACTCAAGGTCCGCGATAGAAGCTATGCAATAGCTTAAAAGTTTGGCATTATAGTCTCAATATGAAATTTTCTATCTTCTAATGCAATAAAACGTCAGTTACTCTATGGTTATTTATTTACAATCTACTTTCATTACGTACGCCTTTTTATGTGGATGTTACTGTGTTGATTTTTGGATTTTTCTAGTGTTTTAGTATAGCGTTTTATTATAAAATTAGTATGAAAGATTTTCTGTGAATATACTTTATCTATCTACCTAAATAATTTCGAGTAACATATAGAAATGATAGTGATTTTCACGCTGCCGACATTCGCTCGGTATGTAGCCGTTTTTGTTATCAAAATACAATAAAGTCTTTTTGTAATGAAGTAAAATCTGACTTTTGTTTAGACCACAGGATAGAGAATTTTGTAATGCCAAACTTTTGCATAAAAAAGTAGTCTCTAAATATAAGTTTTAATGGTTTAAAATGCTGTGGGTGGGTGCGGACACATGCGACCGCTCGGGATTTGACGGACGCATGCGACTGCATGGGATTTTATGGGGATTGAAGGGTTAAATACCATTGTTAGTCACATGGAGTACGGAATACTTGGCAAGCTTGGATGGCTCTTTTATGCATATATAACAAGGGGACAAACGAGCACATAGTCTACCAGAAAATAGGTGGATGCTATGGCCCATAGACATTGACATCTATCATCGATTAAGAATCAAAATGTAGGTGCCGTTAACCCTGAGAACTAAGATGGCCACGTTACCATTAAAAAGGGTCTCTTCTTCTCTATACTCATCACACGAAACACAGCGTCATTATTCTGCTTTTTCACGCTTGTATTCTGTGTCAGCATGGACCTAACTTGGTCGAGCCGATCTATTCGTGTTGCAGCTATGTATAGCTAGCTTAGCTGCAGCATGGCTTTACCACAGCCTAAGAAGAACATACAGGCAGACAGTGGCGAAGCCTCCATAGAAACCAAAAAGCCAGGCTTGCCCTTTCAAACTGCTCAATCAATAATATCAACTAATGAAATAACTGAAATTTCCCAAATTTTACAAAGAATGTCGGAAGTTGTCGGAAAAGCCGACATAAACAAAAAATTATTAGGGTTGTCAGAACGAGAAGTAATAAAAATAATATAGAAATGATTTTGTTTTATTTCACGTTTAAGCTAATTCTTGCGTATGTGGAAACTGATGTAAAGGAGACGTGGATTTCTGGGCCCAATTTATAATAAGTTGAAATATGATTTAAAAAAAAAGCGTTATATTTTTCTATTTCAAAAAATTAGCCCAATTCACAATCTGAAAGACGAGAGATCTTAAAAATAAGTTTATGTCACGAATAAAATAGGAAATCAATTATTGTAATCGACTAATGTGAATGAGTTTTAACAATTACACATAAAAATAAGTTACTCCATTGATTAAAACTACTTTTAAGGATTTTGTCGCGTGTAATTTACATGATTTTAATCCCTCACATTTCGGATTCTTTTCGGCACCCATGATCACGGGGGACTGACATCCTAATGTCAGTGTTAACCCGGAGTACAGACTCTGTATAAAAAAGTGTCCGTAGGAAATCGCTAAATAGGTGGCGCCAATGTAGCTACAGTCTAAAGAAAGTACTTTTTATAATTTTTTGCACAGACTTTCACCCTAATTATTTTTACAATAATTATTTTATTGCTTCCAAAATCACTCTCAACGTATTTTAAGGCGAATTATCACACCGTGTTGCTACTCGAGCGCTGTGATGGAGAGTTTTTGAACCGTTATTTAGTGCTTACAGAAGGACACATTTTCAACTACTCTCGTATGTGAGATTATCCTCCTTACTTCTATACTCCATGCGGAGTACCTTCAGTTTTGCAATTATTACTTATGGTGCGATCTATGCTACGATTGAAGTCATGCAGTAAAGCAAACAAGATAACAAAAATACACAGAGCGAGAGAGAGAGAGAGAGAGAGAGAGAGAGAGAGAGAGAGAGCGAGAAAAAAGAAAGATGAAAGGACAAAACTTACTCAAATGGATAATTAAACTTCACTATAGATTTTGCACTACTGTTTTCGCACTTGTTATTTTTGAGCAAAATCAGTCTGCCCTTAATAGTGCAGGAGAAGGTATATTATAAAAATAGTTATTTTAATTAAAATATTCAGTCAAAATAAAGACAGTTGTCACCTGTCACCTTTATTGTTCTTTGGTCTGTGAAATATCTGAAACCTTTTGTTGATCATTTAGCATCCATCCACGCAATAATTACAGTAGGAATGACGTTTTGCCATTATAATTTATCAAATAAATACATTTTTTTTAAATTTTAAAAAAAACATTTACGTAAAAGCTTAAAACTGGCCCGCCTATTCGGAAGGTGACAGAGGACTGGTAGTAGTTAGACTGCAGCCTTACCGTGTAAAAAGTTGGGCTGCTTTTTTCACTATTTGTGTCTATATAACTAACTAATACTTACGTTATGTTGTGCGTGAGAAATCTAGTCGTGTGTGGGCTTTGAAGACTTGGAGGGCTTGGTGGGCTCGTCGAGCAAGCTCTCGAGCTGCTTCACGTCGGTGACGGGCAGCGAGCACGCGTAGCGCCGGCACACGTAAGCCGTCGGCACGTCCCCGGACGGCAGGATGCGGCTTAACACTGTCATCGCAATTTTTACCACAATTGCTAATTTTGTTACGATTAAATAGAAAAATGTCTTATATTTACGAAAATAATACACATTGTTGGCTTTACTCATAAAATTTGTCATCAACTTAAGAAATACTTAAAATTGCTCCCTTTCTTCACTAAATAGCACTGGAAAGATAAATACAAAGATAAATAATACTTAAGTAAGCAATTATTAAATATTCAACGATTATAAGTGAGGCACTTTACCCATTACACATTGAATAATTTAAGCATCCATGGTAAAAGGTATTACACTTTATTTCTTTTCAATATATTAAGAAAGAATACCATAAAAATAAGAATAAATTCCTTACTTATCATAATCACCGGTAAAAAGTTTTACCATAAATGTTTTCAAATCATTCTGACGCTAACTATGCAGTACTGGATAGTTTCCCACACACCTCATGAAAGTCAGTGTAGACAAGTGATGGGAGACCTTATGCCACATATTTCCAGAGCAGACTGACTTTAAAAGAGGGCCAAGTAGCAGTGCTAGTACTGATGAATAAAGTGTTGAATGTGTATAAAATGAATCATGGGCAAGCCACTTTCTTTAATTCAAGTTGGGAACTAAAATAAGCACCGGGAGACCGGAGAATGTGCAAAGCCATTATAGTCCCGCTGTATACCTAAGGGGAAAAGGTCAACAGACTGTAAAAGCTACCGTGGAATCGCTTAAACGTATCATTTAAAGACAAGGGAGTGAAAGTTAACTCAAGTATGATGAAAATTATGATTACCGAAAGGGAAGAAAGTAACGCAACATGTAAAATAAGAATAGAAGGGGTCGAGCAAATGAATGAATTTGTGCACTTAGACTGTGTGTTTATCGGGAATGGTAGACATGACAAGAATTAATGTAGAACAGAGTGTACATAGGGCGCTTCACGCTATTGTGGGAAGTCAAAATGTGTCAATAAAGGTATGTACGGCAATTCACAATAATGTGTTAGGCCCTACCTTTAAATATATTGTAGATAAACTGTGTTATAAGAGAAAAGTGTAGTAAAGAAAAGAAAGCTTCGGTGGTTGGATATAATAATAATAACATTCATTCCTTCCACAATTTAAACACAGTTACATTTCTTTCATAAATATTTTAAGTCCAAACTGTTACCTAGTGCTAGGGGCCTATGGGTCTCCTGGTTCCCTCTCTTGGCTTTTTTACAATTCAATAAGAACGAATATAAGGTTTCTAAAATGTAAATTACAATAAAGGACACCTTGAATATAATATGTAGCATGCAATATGTTTGAAATTAAAGTATATAATCGAAATAATATATACAATCATATACGCACACATATATACATATAAATGTGTGTATGTGTGTGTACATGCATATGTATGTGATATACATGTGACGTAGAAAGAATGAATGAGAAAAGAGTGACAAAGCAAAGTGGTGCAGAAGTAAATGGCAGAGTTGGCATGGGACGCCCTAGATGAAAGTTTATCGATTAAATTGACAATATATTGGAGATGGACCAACTCAAGAGTACCCTTAACCGAAAAGCATGTATGCACAGATCTATGGATGTGAAAGAAGGTTTATGATATGATATAATATGATAGTGTTGCATTATAAACAGAGTACCCGGCTACTTTCTCGCGGATTTACTGTTCCAATCCCAATCAAAACTACTGTTTGTGCATAAACCCATATTACAGTGTAAGGTTCTGTTAAATTAATTAAGAGTTTATTGCACTTTGGTAATTTTAAAACGATGATAATTTTAAAAATGAATTTTTTCCTTAACCACTCAAGCGTCCAAGCTGCGCGAGTAATTCTCGCCCCACCTGTCCGCGTATTAAATGTCACTTTCTTTATTACGATCGAGACACTCTCAACTAAAACGATTACTTCTGAAAAACTACTATAGCTATCTACATTCAAATAAAAAATATTCACGAAAAGCTCAAAAAAATCAGAATTTTAATTTGGTAAAACAAAATTGCTCAAATTAAAAATAAATGAAAAAATAAAGCTTGAAGTTGGGAATATCAAAAAGTGATCGTATTTATTTTTTATTTCAAGTTTTACAAGAAAAGTATAATAGTTACTGGAGACAATTATTTTATATTAGTACATGATATACCCTTTAAAACACCAATATCTCAATATTATTTACTCATTATAGATAAATATATAATATTTACTCAATATAAATATTCACTCCCTAACACAATCATGAATTGCATGAGTTGCATTTTAATAATTTCTAGACACATATATCTTTTATAAATGTCCATTAACATGTTAATAGTGAAGCATTCTTTTATATTTAGCATTTATTTAACAAAAGCAACTGATTAGAATACACTTTAAACAACGTATAAAAAAAAACGATGATCGCGTATAGTGATTAATATTTCGAGCTAAATTATTATATGTAAACATTTGGGACCTGTCGTAATGATACATACTTCCAAAAGGAAAAATCATCGCAATTAATTTGATGTACAATAACATTATAAATAACGTATAAAAATATAAAACGAGAGAGAGATCAAGCTACAGACACTTTAACAGTCCACAAACAAGAATGGTGAACTATTATTTTCACTTTTTCTGAATATTTTATTGCCATTGAAAAGAAAAAATTCACTCTTATAGATGACAAATTTCAAGTAGCACATCATCTCTTATTTTTCTACTGTATTATTAACAACTGTTTTTAGCGCTTTACACGTTTAAACCGTACGATGTCGTTCGGTGACTGTAGTCACCATGGACAAGATTTTTTTGGCAAGATTTTTTGATGGCAAGATTTTTTTGGGGACTGGTCACCGTGAACGCTTGAGTGGTTAAGTATTAATTGATAAATTTGAAGTTTCAATGCTATATCCCGAATTACAGGAGTGTACAATAGGTTAGTAGGTACTCAACTTTTGTGTTTAGTTACATTGTGATTGTTCCCATGTCTAAGGCACTGCACCTATCGTATTTTGTATATCGTAATTTGTCACAGTGCTTCATTTCAGCGAGACGGACCTCAGATCTAGCGCCAGTTACTAGCATCAAGTAAATTTGCCTTAAAGGAAAAGGGAGAATTATAATAGGAACTAGCGAGAAATAGAAATAAAATAGAAATTGGCGAAAACTTGACCAGTGGTGGTTTGCAGTAGATTTTGCGTACGAGTGTTACGTAAAAGTGCGAGTTTGTATTAAATACATTATCTTGAGAAACACTTGTTTCCACTAACAGTTTATATGCACAGACATTAATACGTCTGCTTAAACGCCTTGAGATAATATCGTTAACTTAAGCTACCGTTAAAATCTCGCAATAACTTAACAACGTGACGCATAAACACATTGTGGAGGAGTTTTAACGTACTTGATACTGGCAAATGTGCAGCAGTATGAGTCCATTAGCAAAAGCAGAAAAACGCAGAACGCACTCACGTATGTCGGACATACCAGCGGGCGTGTCGGCTGCGGGGTCGGCGACCGCCAACACGCGGCCCGGCAGCAGGCGCGCGCGCACCACGCGCACCAGCTCGAGCGTGCGCGGGTCCGAGCACCCGCCCGCTATCAGCACCTGCCCACCCACAACCCACACTCTATCAATATTCTATACTACTACTTGGACTCTGCGGTCTTAATTCATTGCGCACTAAGTTATGAGGCATGACTTGTATGTGTTTACATACAAGTCTTTGCTTTACCATTGTGTTTCATTGCATTGCATTCTTTTTCATTAGCTCAGAAAATTCCACTGTTGGGTATAAGCAGGCTAGTGCAACTTCCATAATAAAAATTATATATACGAAATGGGAGCAAATTTTAATGGCGGATATATCTTCTTTCTACTTTTCGTAATATACCTATCAATGACATGCTCAAAGCAAACGATTACATTTATGTATATTTATTTTAATTATTTAGATTGCTTTAATTTTGCTATAGGAGCCATTGTTCATTTACAGAAATTAAAAAATCAAATATGGATGATAAAACTTGCCAATTAGACGGTAATACAAACACACTCTTTTTCCTAACTCTGATAGTTCAATGGGATGGCAATTCAAAACGAGCTATACTTAAAAACTATATTATGAATTGTGACTACTTACATTCTAATTGTTCAATAAAAATTAGAGATGGGCCGAATATTCGTTTTGTTTCTTTACCGAATATTCGTATTCGGCCGAACCGTCGAACATTCATTAAAGTGTTACTCAAAGTGCCCACCGCATTGAAATGTACAAACTGAGTAATGCCATGTCTTTCATAATATTACTGGTGAAAGTATATTTTATTTATGGGTTAAATCTACTTTTAGAGCGTTGTTGATCTCCTGCCCCTCATTTATATCATATTATAGTTATCAATTTTCACTAAGAATAACACAACGAAATACTTTTTTCTCACTAAAATAGTCTAAACATAAGCATGTGCCAATTTCCTAGTACTAGATAATGCAATAACATGTCAGGTGTGTTGGTTGGTGGTTGGGGGGTGGGGGTGGAGGGAGCTTGGGGTAGATTCCGGCGCTAATCCCGCGCGCTATACAGTAACAAATTTCAACATAAATTGGTTAGGTACCGAGGCGATCTTGCCGAATAATGTTCGGCCGAATATTCGGTTCGGCAAAAATTTTACCGAACTATCGACCGAATATTCGTGTTCGGTGAAATCCATATTCGGCCTATCTTTAATAAAAATGTGATTTTATTCATATTATTTTTTCAGATGTAGGCAATTGGTGAAATTAAGACTGGCAGATGTACCAATTGAAAAGCTTCACATGTTAAAAGATATTTATGCCAATCATTGCAAATCCGAGGATTTAAACCCAACTAAAAGGAACTGTTATTCGATCAGTGGACTTAAAGCTTCCACAATTATGTGTATGTTAATTAAATTTCGTTCAATTAATTAGAGTCGTCATTTATTTTTTATTTAATTACTAGTATAATAATTACGCGTTGTTTATTTTGTTCTTTTATACATATTTTTATACCTAATAATTGTAGAGATGTAATTAAAAATTGCTGTGTGTAAAATACGTTGATTACTTATTCTTATTGGCATTTTTACTCAATCAGTAAATATGTCGATAAGAATAAAAATAAAATAATAAACCACGTAAAAACTTTTATTTCTCATAAACCATTCAGTATAGAGAATAGAGATCTAACTTTTATTATATAAAAATATCGATTAACAATATATCGATAAAATTATTCGAGGATAGACATTTACAGCACTGTTATAAAACTCCTATTGCTGTTAGTCTTGATGTTGGTAGAGTAGTTCTGCGCCCTTTCATACATTTACTTTTACTATGGAAGTCTCCCTTAATTATATTCTCTTTGGGTATAGGCCTTTACCTTTGCAAGTGGGATTTGACTTTAGTCACACTTGACAGATATATTGACGACCGCACCATCATGTCACACCTTAATAACACCATGTATAAATGGTTTTTAATAAAAATGACAATGGGGGCGGGGGAGTACGGTGAACAGCAGGCGCTACCATAAAGTTTAAAAGATAGTTTTTTTTAAGTTTTTTTTTAATTCCTTTGAGTAGTTTTCAGAAAGATGCTGCTGCTCATCTCGTGTTTCAGTTTCCCTCTGCGGTTTCTTACGACCCCCAATTGACGATATGGGGTAGTGGATATTCTTACGCCGCCATCACACAGTTAAATTTACCAAATAAATGCTAAAATGGAGGAGAGCCAGTGGCACAAAATAGTAATTGTTTTACTTCATATTTTATATATATATATATATATATATATATATATATATATATATATGATGTTGATGATACTTTTATGTTAAATAATATAAAAGTATCACCATCATCATCATTACAGCCCTTCACAAGTCCACTGCTGAACATAGGCCTCCCCCAAGTAATGGCATATAGCTACAAAAGTATGATAAGGCGCAATTTCAAAAAGGTCTAGAGACATAAGAATATATATCTATAATTTTTAATGACATACCTGTGTGGGCGAATCATTGTAGAACATTAAAGCGGACATCATTTCGGGAAGGGCGGTAGGCGTTTCGTTAAGGCGGCGGGCAAAGGCAATCAGCAGCTTCCGAGCCATGTCCCTTTCAACGTCTCCGCCTTCTGGGGCCTCGCTCTTATCTGCGTACGCTGCAAGACGTTGTAGGTTATGGCACGCGATGCTGTTGCCTGATGGCTCGGCGCCATCTTGATCTGAAAACGGAAAATAAAAAAAACCTTAAAAAAGTTCGTGTAATAGCTTGAATTTTTGCTTTGAGCGTTATTTACGTGAAGTAAATTGGGTTTCGTCACAGATTTAGGGTTACGTGCCAAAATATTAAAACTGAACACTTTTTTGACTTTTTATATTTGATTTTTATTTTAATCTGAAAAATGTCTTGTGTGTGTGTGTGTGTGTGTGTGTGTGATTGTGTCTGTGCGTGTTTTAATGATTGTATTTTATTTAGATATTGTAAGAAGATTTTCAGTTTGGACATAGTCAAGATTTTGCAACCATTTCAGTACATATTTTTTAAATCTATTGGTGCTTAGAGTTATAAGGCTAACAATATTCTCGGTGGGAATTAACTCTATATGAAGCAAAAAATAATTTTACTACTCGCAACAATTATTTACTGGAGTTTTCTTTCCTGGACCTATAAAGTGATATATGTCTTTAAATATTATTTTATAACTATATACAGAATGGGTCCCACATATATGCAATAAATGAAACCACAAGTAATACTAGTCCGTAGAAGTGTAGAAAAATTAAATATTAAATTAAAACCCGTAAAATAAAAAAGTGAAATTTTCAAACAAAATAAATATTAAAATAAATTCAGTAAAAGTGAACACTCTGTTTAGACAACGTACCTTGACCCCTTGGAAGAGTGACAACGTTGCACGCGGGTGGCACGCCGACAAAAGACACCGCTGTCGATATGTCGCAATACCAATAGTTTGCACTGCGTGGCAACGTCGCTTTTTAATGTTCAAGGATTCAAGTTCATTGAATTATTGACTTAGTGACCCAATTCTATAGAGTGTTCAAATTTGCTTAAAATTAAAACTCTACTTTTTGACCTAATTACTGGACCGATTACGTTCATTTTTTGTAAATCGTCAGCAAAGGCGATAACAAGTATATGGTTTCATTTATTGCATATATGTGGGACCCATTCTGTATATATATATATATATATATATATATATATATATATATATATATATATATATATATATATATAATAACTTGGGGATAAGTCGCTCGCGTCCGTAGGCTTTGACCACCTGTTCCTAGGCCCACCCTACACGTGTCCCCCGGGTGGTGCTAAATGAGCGACAAGCCGATACCACAGACTCGGCTCCACGCCGTGGTAGCGGCGTTAAATATACCACCCCATTTCGCACCATGAGGAATCGAATTAAAGAAATGGCCCTAAGTTCCCGGCGCCCCTTTAATGGGGCAGGGGTGCGAAGAATCTCCGGGAGGAAAACCGGCGACGAGGTTCGCCACCCGTCACGTTCTGTCTCCCGGAGAGGCGAAAAGTGGATTGCAGAGGCCCGTCTGGCTACGTTGAATGTATGTGGGGCAATGAATGATAAAATAGATGAAGTATGCGATATGATGTATGATAGAGGAATAGATGTGTTATGCGTAAATGAGACGAAAAGGAAGGGGAAGGATGTCACTACACATGGCATGTATACCGCATACTGGTCTGGTGTAGACGAGATCGAGCGGGCATGCCAGGGAGTAGGTATCATCCTTTCAGAAAGAATGGGCCAATGTGTGAAAGAGTATGAATGTGTAAGCCCAAGACTGCTATGGATACGAATGAAAGTGGGCTTAAAGAAGTTATTTGTGTTAGGGGTCTACGCCCCAGACATGTCTAAGCCCACTTATATCCAAGAGCAGTTTTGGGAAATGGTAAGGATGGTGTTAATGAAGTGTAAGGGAAATGAAAATATTATTATGCTAAGAGATTTTAATGGAAGGGTTGGGGTCAGGAGGCTTGGTTATGAAAGGATATTGGGAACGTTTGGTGATGAAAGTATAAATGAGAATGGTGAAAGTCTCCTCACCGTATGTGTGGAAAAGAATCTTTTTGTGACGAACACTTGCTTTCGCCACAAGAGGATTCACACGTATACTTGGGAAAGAGGTGACGATAGAAGCATGATAGATTTCATAATTGTGGATACGAGAGTTTACCGGGGTTCTAACGTAGGAACGGATCATTATTTAGTTTTATGCCGAATTAATGGTCTATTCAGGCGTTGGCGCCATCGATCGTCTGTGTCTACCACTGCGTTACAGCGTATTAGAACAGAAAGGTTACAAGATGAAAGTGATAAAAACAAGTATAGTATCAAATGTAGACTGAAACAAAATATAACTGGTTTGGATGAATTATGTATGAAGAAGTTAGACTTGGAGAATATATAGAAAGGTTTAGTGGATGCAGCTACCGAAGTATGTGGTGTTAGTAAGAGAAAGAATGTAAGGAAAAATAATACGTTATGGTGGGATGATGAGGTACGTATGGAAGTTGAAGCAAAGAAGAGAGCATGGCTAGATTTACTAGCAACAAAGGCTGGTAATTCTAGCGGTACGAATGATGATATTGAAAGAAAAAGGGCAGTCTTTAGACATCTTAATAAGAGAGTAAAAGAAGTAGTTGAAAGAAAAAAGCAAGAAAGAACGGATAAGAATGATAGAAGAATATCGGATAACTTCCAGGCAAATATTAAAATGGTCTGGAAACTTGTAAGAACTGCCAGGGGACATTCAAAACAGCCTATGATGAATGCTATAAGAGACGAGAATGGCTATATTCTGAATGATGAAGTTTTGAGTTTAAAGAGATGGAAGGAATATTTTGAAAGCGTGTTTATGAGTGAGGAGACAACGTGTGTACTAAGTGAAGTAGAAACACCGAAAGAAGAGGAAAGAGATAGCGAGATAAGTATAGATTAAATAATGAAAGCAATGAAAAGCATGAAAGCAGGTAAGGCTGCCGGATATGATAGAGTTTCACTCGAAATGCTAAGGGCTGGAGAGGAAGTGGTGGCAGGCCTGCTGCACACCTTGTTTAATTTATGCTGGGAACTGAAGCGGGTACTGGTAGACTGGTGCAAAGCCGTGATAGTCCTAGTATATAAAGGAAGAGGGTCGCAGCGGGACTGTAAAAACTACCGTGGCATCAGCCTTCTTAGCATTGTGGGAAAACTGTATGCTAAGGTACTGATTGAAAGGGTCATGAAAGAAACTGATGAAAAATTTGGGATGTGCAAGCGGGATTTAAAAAGGGAATGGGATGTACAGATCAAGTCTTTTCCATGCGCATGATCGCGGAAAAGTTTCTGGCCAAAAACCAAAAGGTTTTTCGTGCGTTCATGGACTTGGAAAAGTCCTATGACAGAGTGGATAGGGATTTGCTATGGCAAACACTGAACTCATTTGGGTTGAGCGCTGGCTTGATACAGGCATTGGAGTCTCTTTATAGGGACTCTAGTGCTTGTGTTAGGATCAACGGGGTCTACTCGGACTGGTTTGACATCCATAAAGGTGTCAAACAGGGCTGTGTGGCTTCCCCGTGGCTGTTCAACCTATTTATGGACAGTTGTTTGCAAAATTTGAAAGTTGAAGAATGTGGATTAAGAATGGGTGAGTTAACCGTCAAATGCCTTTTGTACATTAATGAACGGATCATTAAAAGACGAAGTAAGTAAGACGAAGGTTATGGTTTTAATGAAATGAAATGAAATAAGAATAGAAGGGGAGTTGATCGAGCAAGTAGATGAGTTTGTATATTTGGGCTGCGTATTTAGCAGGGATGGGAGATATGATAAGGATATAGAACGAGAGTGAATGCGGGAAATAGAGTAAATGGGGCCTTGCACTCTATTGTGAAGAGTCAAAATGTGTCGAAAAAGGCACGTATGGCAATTCACAATGCTGTGTTGGTCCCTACTTTAACGTATGGTAGTGAAAGTTGGCTGTGGCAGAAGAAGCACGAGAGTAGAATAAACGCAGTAGAAATGCGGTCGTTAAGGAGTATGTTAGGGCTGAATCTGAATGACAGGGTAAGAAATTGTGTAATAAGAGAAGAGTGTGGTCTGTAAGATGATGTTGTGACCAGGATTAAGAAAGGAATGCTTCGGTAGTTTGGTCTTATGGAAAAAATGAATGAGGAAAGAGTGACAAAGAAACTTTATGGTGCAGAAGTGAATGGCAGAGTCGGAAAGGGACGTCCTAGGCGAAAATTTATCGACCAAATTGGCGATTTATTGAAAACGGGCCAAATTAGGAGTACCCTTAACCGACGAGCATGTATGCGTAGGTGTATGGATGTGAAGGAGGCAAGAGAAGTGTGTCAGGATCGTGCCAAATGGAAGTCTGTAGTCTCTGCCTACCCCTCTGGGTGACAGGCGTGAGTGTTTATGTATGTTATGTATTACTTCAGTTTTTCAGCTAAAATAACATGCATTCGAAGTCCCCCAGGCACAAGCTAGTATCTAATAAGAGTGCTAAACAATGTTTACATTTACTCACAAGTACAGAAACATGGTACTGGAACAGAATATATCACACAAGATAAAAAGCAATAATATTTACTGTGGAAAATTATTACCTTAAAGAAATAAATAATAAAATTTACCTCATGATTATAAAATTATGTGAATGAATTTATTTTCCTTGATCATTACTTAACCATTAACACAGTAAATTTATCAATTACATATTTAATCATGTAACAATTATAGATCTTTGTTATAATGAGTTCTCTATTTTATATAATTGATTTTTGCTGTGCCATGTCAATTTTTATAATGCAATGCACTTGATAAAAAATTATAGCCAATGGGGAAGAAAGGTTCTCAAGTGGCAGTCTTGTATCAGTAAGCAAAGTATACGGCGGTCGCCCACTAAAAGGAATGTTATCCATTAAGAGATACAAGAACTCGGTGGATATGGGTGACTCAGGACCACGCTTTGTGACATTCTTTGGGGGAGGTTCAGCCGTGGACTTGTGATGTAATATGATAAAAATTAATAACTACATAAGAAATAATCCTAAAAAACCCACATAAAGTAACATATAGCTGATGTAAAGACTAACGCTCCGAAAAGTGTGCAGTATATCAACATGTTCAGAATTATTCCAACCATCAAATCAGATTTGCTAGACCACAAATCCCCGAAAATTAATTTCAAAATACTATAGTTCTATCTGCGCAGATCGGACCTTAATATTTAAAAGATTAAAGTAGCCTTCTTTAACGATAACTGTGATATCAGGACATCGAACACCTCAGTCTTCCCTCCCCCCTGACCATGGATGCTGTTAAGCGCCTGAAACTTCGGGAATCAAAAAAGTAAAAATTAAACGTGATAAAATCTTTAAAATTAGTTTCATTTAATGAGTAGTATTCTCGTAAATATAAGAAATCTCTTGCATATCTATATTTTTATTAATCAGATCATTATCACCACTTTAAAATGTTTTTAGTACATATTAAAATGTATATCCAAATAGTTTTAGTAGTAGTATTTACCTTCTTTGAGCCTCAAAACCACAGTGCTGTCTGCAGTAGAACATGTAAAATAACCACCATTTTCGTTATCCCAAAACAACTCATTCTGCTTATATTGCAGTTCACGTGCCCAGTTCAGCCAGTACAGGTCAAGTGATGCTTCATACAAATTTAGTAAGCCTTTAATGAGAAATGCATAGTCGTCCAGAAATCCTTTTATTGGCTCATTCCTGAAACATATATTAGTGTAATTTAAATGTTTTAGAATGTTTAGATTTCCCAACTAGAATATTAAATACCACTGAAAATATGTTGATTGACAATCATGTCAAAGACAATGTTGTATATCACCAATGTCAATATTTTAGTCCGGTATTTTTTTTTTGGTATATTAAATCCAATATAAATGAATATTGGAAACATACATAAATTTAACTCCAAAGTAGTTAAAACATCATCATGAAGCAATGTTTACGTTTGTACAAGAAATTCGTTAACAACTATAAATATTCTTATTTAGGTACAAGTTTGAACAATACACTATCTAGATAAAATTTCTTTAACACTATAGCACAGGCTATAGTGTTAAAGAACATAACATAACATAGTCATGTGGTGGTGGTGGTCAGGTAGTGTGAATTTTTTTATTAGATTGTGGAAAAATGAACAAGCAAGAGCAGCATGAGTCAATGACAATGATAAATTCTAATATAATATACTGGATAACCTTTTTTACCGTCTAGAAAAAATAGGGCGTAACATGTGAAAGGAGTAGAAGCACAGGTGCAAGGCTGGACAAATCTTGCCACACCATCTTGGATATGGAATGCAGGCAAGTTAAAAGGCTTTACCCCTCATCAAATTGCTATGGTGAAATGCGGCTGATTTAGAAACTATTTTTGTTTTGCAGAAGAGGGCCATAAGAGCTATTACAACCTTAAACCGAAAGAGTCCCTTAGAGAAAAATTTAAAGAAATAAAAATATTAACTTTGGCCTCTCAGTTATAGGTCTATAAAAATTTAATGTATGTTCACAAAAACAAAGGTAGTTTAGAAATGCGACTGCTGATCACTAGTTCCTGGGTTAGAAACCTGGGTCGAGCCAAAAAAATTAAGTTATTGAGTTTTTATGTCAAGAAATTCTAAGTAGCTGCCCAGAGCCAGGAATTTGGCGGTGTCTCACCCCCATGCCTTGGAAAGCATGTAGAGCTGTTGGTCCTGCACCTGCCAAATGTCTCTCCAGTTGTCGGTTTATCGTCCCAACGGACTATGAGAGTGAGAGAACAGAGAGTGCACCTATGTTGTACTGCACATACATTTGAGCACTATAATCCTGTACTGCGCTGACGGCTAATCTCCTTCGAGGCTGGCCACTGTGACTGAAATTTGGTCTGGAGAACATTATTATATTATATATCACCATAGTCGAAAACAACCAAGATAACTGATAATATATGTCTGAAATATTTTGTGGCCATTTGAACTGACCCGAAAGTTATCAGTATAAACATTATCACAGATGCACTTCTTTTACCTTATCAAATGCAGACACAAGAACACACAAACTCTTTTTGTATCCTTTGCAACACATCCGGACTCTAGCTCTAAATGTGATTTGAAATCAGAACTTACTTAATAATATTGCTAAAAGTCAAATAGAGAAATTTCTAAATGTAGTTCCTTACGTCTGAGAAACTGTTCCGTCTTCTGCCCTATAGCAAGAATGTAATAGTGTTTTAGTAGAAGAATCATAAAGATGTGTTTTTATGAAGTGTGCAGTTTTAATCGCATCTTCCACATAACTTTTCTCTCCCAAGCCTTGACCTGCTTGAGCCAATCCAGCTATAATTAGGCCATTCCATGAACAAAGCATTTTTGTGTCTAAATGGGGGCGAGGTCGTTTTTGACGTTCTTGATATAATATGTTAATGCAGTCAGAAATTACATCTTCAAATTGCTCTGACGACAATCCAAACTTAGCAATTGTGTCTTCTTTGCTCCCATATACAATTAAAACATTCTTGTTACTAAGTTCGCCATGGGGATCACTTTCTGGTGCAATATTACCATCTACTTCCACATTGTAGTAATCACAAAATATGTCTAAGAAAGATATTGAATTAACTTTTTTTTCACCCAGAAGAGATTTTAATTCATCATATTCCCATACACAAAATGCACCTTCTTTCTTATGGGGAGCACCATGGTATGGATAGGAATCTGCATCTTCTGCACTATAATAACCACCTGATTCGTGCTTTAAATCTCTGTTCACATATTTGATTATGTCACGAACCACATCTGCATAAAATTCTTCTTTTGTTGCAAGATATGCATCAGTATAAGCAACAATTAATTGGGCTTGATCATAAAGCATCTTTTCGAAATGTGGTACATGCCAATCATTATCCACGGAGTACCGAGCAAACCCACTAGAGACATGATCATGAATACCACCTTTGGCAATTTTAGTCAAAGTGTAAAGGCACATATCAAGACATTTTTTTCCTTCAGGATCTGACTTGTCCCTTGCATAATAATGAAACAAAAAATTAAATATGGATGCTTGTGGAAATTTTGGCGCTAGTCCAAATCCACCAAAGTGGGGTTCATAAATTGATATATATCTTCGAACACATTTGGTCCAAGTACTTTCACCAGGTACAGATGATGATGTGTCTGAATCAACCAGAGATATTTTTTGTAATGCTTCCATAATATTATTACTGGCTTCAACAAATTTTGAATCATTTTCCTTCCACTTTTTAGCTAAAGACAGTAAAATGCTTTTAAAGCCTGGACGTCCCCAACGATCATCAGGTGGAAAGTAAGTACCACCAGTCACCGGTCTTAGTTCTGGTGTGAGAAAAACTGACATTGGCCAACCTCCGCTTCCAGTAGTGGCCATAACAAATAGCATATATACTCTATCTATATCTGGCCTCTCTTCTCTATCAACCTTGATGTTTATAAAATGTTCATTCATAATCTTCGCAACCTCTTCATTCTCAAAAGATTCTTTTTCCATTACATGACACCAATGGCAAGTAGAGTAACCAACTGAAAGAAATATGAGTTTATTTTCTTTTTTAGCTCTCTCAATGGCCTCTTGACTCCAAGGGTACCACTGTACAGGATTATGTGCATGTTGCAGCAAGTATGGTGACTTCTCAAATATAAGCTGATTAGTATATCTAGGTTTTTCTTGAGTACTGGATTCAACATTAGTCATTTTTATAATATTTTCACTAAAACTTCTTGACAGTTTATTACTTCCCAAAGGATTTCCAACTGTTGTCAATCTGTTAAAGAGAATATGTTATTTTATATATTTTTGTTTTATCAATAAGGCACAAAAACATTGAATACAATACATAACTCGGTTACAGTAACAAATATTATTTTAACTAGGCTATAATCCAATATGGTGACAACAAAACAAAATACAACAATGTGTATTAAAACTAATAATACACATTATGAGTGTCAATAAAACACACTCCAATGTTATAAGAATATAAGATAACAATATAATACCAAACTGAAAGAAATAATAATAATATACATTAGCTTAAATGTAAAACAAAAATTGTATTAGAAATATTATGTTATTTCCACATTATATTTTTTCCGAAGAAATTTTTTTTCTTCTTTACTGTTTTTGTTATTACGTTATAGACAGATATTGTTTTGTTCTGTACAAAATATGGAAATGGATATGTAATAGAAATAGAAAAATATTATACCGGCACTGATTTATAGTCCTTTTGCTTTGACTCTCTTTGACTACATACATATATTCATTTGTTTTTCAAGCAAAATTGAAAGTACGTCAACTTAAACAAGGTCACGTAAGATTATTATTATGAGCAAATAACCTTGTTATTTATTCTTATACGCATTAGAACAAACTTCAAATAACGTTGTAAATACCTTTTACTGGAGCTGAAATCTCTATTTAGACACACTGGGCTGGTAACCAGCTCCTTATTTGTGTTTTGATTTATATTTATATTCTTTAGCTTGCTGTCACCCGTCGACAAACGTCGCAATAACAGAACGGCCCGGCCACTAGGCATAATAATAAAATGAAGTACGATTTTCTTGATTTTACGACATGAATTTACTTAATACTAAAATATGAACACACAAAAACAAAATCAAAATTAAAAAATTGTCAATTTATCAAAAATACAACAAAAACAAGTGACAAATTTAAAAATTACTGTGTTGTCAACTTATCAAACAAATGTGAAGTGAAAGACTGTCATAGCTTGCTACATAATTTATTTATCTATGGACTGTCAGACCGTATCTCTAACAATATACAGTAATCTATGGTATCTAGCTTGCTACATATTTATTTATCTATGAAGTGAAATAAGTGAATGCAAGTGAATGTGATTGTGAAGTTTCCGCTAGGAGTAAAAGTGTAAAGACCACAGACTACTAAGAGGATACTACGCATGTAAAGACACAGAATAAATAATAAGTAAAGATATAACCGATATATTCGTATTTGTTAAGATATTAGTAATATTAGGTTGATTCATAGATCAGTAATTCAACGGAATTCTGATATGCTACCGTACCATATTCACTTAGTTTATACACTGACCGTTCGACATCGGTTGGATAATATCACTAGGCTCGACTCGGCTGTTGATATTCGTCGAGACGGATATCAGTATCATTCGTATCGTAAGTATGGCGGTGCGAGCGAGTTACCTAACAAATTAACCGATATGAGCGTTTGGGGGGTATTCGTTCCCTATTGTGCAGAACTTAGGGACTATTTCCAATTCGATTTTTTATATCACGGTGACCTGCGGGATTTTACAAATAAAACAACACTTTATAGATATTTAAATTTTCTTGACTCTTTAGTGGTGTTTTTAATAGTGTATATTTACGTTTATTTATTTTATTATGATTATTGGGGATATTTTAGTTTTATTGTCATGGTATTCCGCCAATATTCTTGTTCAGATTATAGTGACATTCATTAAAATGAGTTATCATATCTTTAGGTACCGTAAATCATTCTCAAAATGTAAACTTACAAAACGAGGACCCTTGTTTTTTGCAATGGAATTTATTTTTATTCTAATCACATAAAATCACTTTCAATAATACTTATATACTATAGTATAATTTATTTAATATTTATCAAAGCATATTATAAACCTAGCATACATCTATATATAAACTAACAAGATTGCTTGGTAAAATAAACTTATTACCTACATGAACAGATACGTGTAGCTGTCGTATTAAAATATCAGTAATATTCATATATCAGTTTAAATATTATAATATCACTTGACGAAAATATTCATATTAACGAAAACTGACAAATATCGATATTATATAAGTATTAACCCATCTTTAGTTCTGGATGTGAAGCGAATAATAATAAAATAGGTTGGGCCTACTGTGTGACCAGAAAATAAGATTGTGACAGATTTAAATGTACTAATCTGCCTGTGAGTATTCAACCAACTATAGAGGCCATGCGCGTTAAACAAAAAGTCTGCCATTCGTCACTATACACGCACACTACAGCATTTGTGTTTGTGTTCATTGCTTTTACGCATACCATCAAATTGTACACGTGTCGATACACTGGTGCCGTTGTCTACATACGTAAGCAACGTAAGGCGATTACTATGTCGATATTTTATCGATAAACAAATCATAGTCCGCATAAGTTCAGCTTTGGTAAAAGTGATTTTTAGTACTTTTTCGTTCATTACCTACAGCCCTTCACAAGTCCGCTGCCACAAAGCACGGTTTTGATCCACCTGTATCCATCAACTTCCTGCAGGTCTTACCAGGTCGTCATTCTATCTATTGGGGGGTCGCCCTGCACTACACCCACCGGTACGAACTCAAGAACCTGCCTCTCAAGAACCTTTTTCTCCCCATCGGTTGTCGATTCTTCTAACTATATGGCCGGCCCATTGCCACTTCAGCTTACTAATCCTAAATTTCTATGTTTATCATGCAGAAAACCCCGAGAATAGCCGTCTCCGTAGCTCGTTGAGCGATTTTAAGCTTCTTCATATGGCCAGCAGTGAAGAGTTTTTAGTGTAATATAAAATTATGATTTTATTATAATTAGGGCCAGTTTTTGAAAGACCGATCAAACTCAGATTTTAATACAAATTTAATCAAAAAGTTAGCTACGGGTACTTTCCACGTTGTGTTTATACCGAACAATAAAAACACTAATGCGTCAGTGGCTTCATCGGAATTATCGGATATAATATCAAACCCGTAGATGACATAGCCATAATGCCTGTGGCTGCTAGCATGGTATTTCATCAACTGCTTAATTTTCATTTTATCCATGACCAAGATACAATAACTTTTTATCAGGATTACTCTCCAGCGCTTATTGAGTAAACCCCGGTCGGCCATTGATGATACTGTACCACTTTGTCAATTTCCATGGTGCAGGCAAACATGTTATAAAAGTTTTACGTACATAGCGATAGGATTTTCGTTAATTATCAAGTGGGCAAAACATCTAAACTGTGTGAAAAATTTAGTTCTGGGCAGTTTTCAGACTTACTTTTTAGTAATTGTCTCTTTAAAAGTTCGCTTTCTTCAGTTCCTATCTTTTCTAGTACCTGTTTGTTTTCTTTATTTATAGAAGATGTCTCTGTCAGCGTATGTAGTATTTCTTGCAAACTTGTAACTTTTTTCTTTCAATACCGTTACTGTCATTGAAGCCTTTTTATGCTATTGCTTTTTATTTCGAGGCGTTTTTTTAGTTTAATTTACCTTGGTGTACAGTCTGTTCGCTTAGATACGGTCGTTTTTGTAACGCGCCGCCTCAGCACCTTCCGGATTTTGTCAAAGTTGTGACATTAAGTTCGTACTGTAAAGCACTCGAAACGTCGGGAATCAAAAGTCAAAATTTAACGCGATAAAAGCCGTAAAATAGAATTTCATTCAATGTTTTGTGTTCCCGTATATATAAGAGTATTTTTAGCATATTTGGTTGAGCCACGCGGCAGCTTTTGCTGTCGCACGAATGGGCCGGCTCAAACCGGGGTGGTACCACGACTTCACAGAATACCAGTATATAGTAGAGATACCTCTGTGTTTCGCTTGGTGAGTGCAGGTGGCTGTTGACCGAATCCCCCTCCCCCCGTTAACATGGTAGCGGAATTAAGAGAAGATCTACCCCAGGAGGGCACCAGCACCCTAGGTGACGAAGAATCCCTCGCTGAGCATCCATGACAAAGTTATCATACCCTTCCTGAGCGTGGGTGCTTAGGCTGCCCCGCGTATTCGGGGGGGCGTAATTCCACTCATAAAAAAAAACTGCTCGGGGCAAGCGGAGCAACAACCCCAAGGCGACCCCTGCCACGCTATCCGTGATTTTTGCAACATCAGGGACTTCCTTCCAACGACTACACGACGCCTCGACAGTCTTGAACGTACGGAACTGTCCATCCTATGGCTGTGCGTAGACAGTGACGACCATCCCCGCGTCCACAGATGTTTAACAAAGTCTCGGATTGACAAGTTTGCGCCTTAATCATTAAAAAGAACCCCTTTGTCGCATCTCCTCAGTTTGAAGACTCACACACTCCCCTTGCTCAGAATCCTCGGCGTCAACATATCGAATGATGTGCAGTTTTGTGGTCACTTGAACGGGAAGGCCATTGTGAATTGTTCCGATTAGTTCCAGCCGCCAAATTTCACGAACGCACATCGCGTCAAAATTTCCGATACCATCCTTACCATCGGGATGTGTGGCGGTCCACTACTGTACGTTTTACTAGGAGTCTTCTTCTTTGTACAACATCTCTGTGGAATTGTTTACCACCGGCGACTTTTCCGGACCGATACAAGTTAGAGACCTCCAAGAAAAGAGCTTACTCCTTTCTAAAAGGCTGACAACGCATCTGCAATTCCCCTGGTGTTGCGTTGAGCCGCATGCTTTTTGCCCCCCTCCTCTATAAAAAAAGAAGTCATAATTGTAAACTTGTTGAAATTCTCAAATATTTTCAAGAAGAATAATATTGGCGTCAAGGGTAATAACAAAACTATATAATCTATTGATATAATCACAGCTAGACATTATCTTCCACAAGTTCAAGGTTGGTACAGCAGTATCGGCTTCTCCTATATTTACCTTCTTTTATCGAACTTGGGGTATGAAATATGATATATCAAAATGTTCGAAGCAAATGGTGCTAGTCCATTTAGGTATCCAAGATTCATGATTTCTACAATCTGCAATCCAAGTCTGTCACTAACGAGGATCTCTTGAATATGTAAAATCAATCCTTGTGCACAGGCTTGAGATTATAATGGGTACTCACTTAGATTAATTTAAAGACTATCTTAAAGATCGCAAGCACAAGGTAAAGATAGGTGAATATTTAAGCGATGAATCAGATATAACATAACATTTGGGGTTCCATAGGATAGTGTCTTGGGTCCTACTTTGTTTTTAATCTACATAAATAATCTAACCAACATAAACATTAACGAGGGCAACATAATCTCCTATGCAGATGATATTGCAGTAATATTTACTGGTGACTCCTGGGATTTTGTTCGTAGATCTGCTGAATAAGGCCTTGCTAGGATCTCTTAGTGGCTGAACACTAACCTACTTACTTTAAACTTTGAAAACTAGTTATATACGTTTTACAAATTATATTCGAACTCGGCCTAATGTTAATTTCCAAATTAAACTTCACACATGCTAAGTATTAGTTGCAGCTGTTCATTAATTAGTAAGGCCTATGAGACTAAGCATTTATCAGTCATAGTTGACCAACATTTGTCATGGCATAGATACATTGAATTAATCATGAATAGACTTAGGAAACTTACATGGATATTTAAAACACTAAGACGAAAAAGTTACTTTACCAAATATATATTGCTTCTATCTTAGTATATTGTATTCCTGTATGGGATGGAGCTACAAAAACTAAATTTCTAGAAGTTGAAAGGGCACAAAGAAATTTACTAAAAATTATACATTTTAAACCAAAAAGATTCCCTACAGAAGATCTTTATGCCGTAAGGTTCTTACTGTTAGGAAACTGGACATCTTATATTCAGTTCTAAAACTGCATAAAGGTATAAAGTTTTAATCGTTGTATTGTAGCCAAAAGAAGGAAAAACGTAGTAGCTACAGCTATCGCTGTTAAAGACTGTTTTAGCTAGGAGGAAATATGTAAAACAGTCAGCAGCTCTACAACGCCATCAATAAAAGCATAAAAATTCATCACCTTAACTATCGTAATTCCAAATATGTTCTAACAAAATGGCTATTTCATAAGAGCTATGATGATATTGAGGCTCCATTAAGCAATATGGAATAATGTAATTTATTTATAACACACAAACACACATGCGCATTTACACACATATTTATACCTTTAGCGTGAATGTTATTAGTTTTTATTTTTTATTTTATAGTTGATTATTATGTAAAGATCATGCAAATAGTAATGTAAATGCTATGGAAGAGTGGAGTCTCCTAACTCAAGTTTGTATACTTAAAAAGAGTCCTTATCCCCGGTTATATTTTATGTGTTATCATTTATCACGGAATACACTATTTTTATTTATATACAATTTATTGTTATTATTAAACCAATAATAGAAAAATTTACTACGTTTTTTTAAACTTTATTATAAAATCTAAAGAAAAAATAAAAACCTGATCGGCAGACAAACCCGAATGAGTCAATTAACTTATCGATAGCTGAAGTTGTGGCGTACATCACTACATTACCGTACTTTCGGTTGCAGTGATACCAGTTTCATTTTACAAAAATTGCATACATTTGCCACGAAGTTCAAGCAAGTTTCGATTCGAGTCATTTGGCCTTTATTTTGTATAATATTTTGATAAAGACTAGTTATCGATTATATTAAATTATAATATATTCAGAATCGTGTTGGGATTGAGCTGAATATTTAAATCATTTCACGAAATCCACTACACATCTTCATTAGTAGCTCGATGCTGCTGTGTTTCGTATGGTGAGTGTGGAGAACCGGAGACCCTTTTTACTCATACTGGGAGCGAGGATTCCATCTTAGCCCTCACGGGTAACAACGCATCTGCATTTTGGTTCATAATCGAGGAGGGGGGATAAGTCGCTCGCGTCCGTAGGCTTTGACCACCTAATCCTAGGCCCACCCTACACGTGTCCCCCGGGTGGTGCTAAATGAGCGACAAGCCGATAGCACAGACTCGGCTCCTCGCCGTGGTAGCGGCGTTAAATATACCATCCCATTCGCACCATGAGGAATCAAATTAAAGAAATGGCCCCGAGTTCCCGGCGCCCCTTTAATGGGGCAGGGGTGCGAAAAATCTCCGGGAGGAAAACCGGCGACGAGGCTCGCCACCCGTCACGTTCTGTCTCCCGGAGGGGCGAAAAGTGGATTGCAGAGGCCCGTCTGGCTACGTTGAATGTATGTGGGGCAATGAATGATAAAATGGATGAAGTATGCGAGGTGATGTATGATAGAGGAATAGATTTGTTATGTGTAAATGAGACGAAACGGAAGGGGAAGGATGTCACTACACATGGCATGTATACCGCATACTGGTCTGGTGTAGACGAGCTCGAGCGGGCATGCCAGGGAGTAGGTATCATCCTATCAGAAAGAATGGTGCAATGTGTGAAAGAGTATGAATGTGTAAGCCCAAGACTGCTATGGATACGATTGAAAGTGGGCTTAAAGAAGTTGTTTGTGCTAGGGGTCTACGCCCCAGACATGTCTAAGCCCACTCATATCCGAGAGCAGTTTTGGGAAATGGTAAGGATGGTATTAATGAAATGTAAGGGAAATGAAAATGTTGTTATGCTAGGAGATTTTAATGGAAGAGTTGGGGTGAGGAGGCTTGGTTATGAAAGGATATTGGGAACGTTTGGTGATGAAAGTATAAATGAGAATGGTGAAAGCCTCCTCACTGTATGTATGGAAAAGAATCTTTTTGTGACGAACACTTTCTTTCGCCACAAGAGGATTCACATGTATACTTGGGAAAGAGGTGATGATAGAAGCATGATAGATTTCATAATTGTGGATGAAAGATTGAGGGGCGCAGTGGTGGATACAAGGGTTTACCGGGGGTAAAACGTAGGAACGGATCATTTTTTGGTTTTATGCCGAATTAATGGTCTATTCAGGCGGTGGCGCCATCGGTCATCTGTGTCTACCACTGCGTTACAGCGTATTAGAACAGAAAGATTACAAGATGAAGGTGAAAAAAACAAGTTTAAATGTAGACTGAAAGAAAACGTAAGTGGTTTGGATGAATTATGTATGAATGAGTTAGACTTGGAGAATGTATGGCAAAATGTTAAGAAAGGTTTAGTAGATGCAGCTACCGAAGTATGTGGTGTTAGTAAAAGAAAGAATGAAAGGAAAAATAATACTTTGTGGTGGGATGATGAGATACGTACGGAAGTTGAAGCAAAGAAGAGAGCATGGCTAGATTTACTAGCAACTAAGGCTGGTAATTCTAGCGGTACGAATGATGATTTTGAAAGAAAAAAGGCAGTCTTTAGACATCTAAATAAAAGAGTAAAAGAAGTAGTTGAAAGGAAAAAGCAAGAAAGAACGGATAAGAATGATAGAAGAATATCGGATAACTTCCAGGCAAATATTAAAATGTTCTGGAAACTCGTAAGAACTGCCAGGGGACGTTCAAAACAGCCTATAATGAATGCTATAAGAGATGAGAATGGCTATATTCTGAATGATGAAGTTTTGAGTTTAAAGAGATGGAAGGAATATTTTGAAAGCATGTTTATGAGTGAGGAGACAATGTATGAACTGAATGAAATAGGAACTCCGAAAGAAGAGGAAGGAGGTAGCGAGATAAGTATAGATGAAATAATGAAAGCAATGAAAAGCATGAAAGCAGGTAAGGCTGCCGGTTATGATAGAGTTTCACTCGAAATGCTAAGGGCTGGAGAGGAAGTGGTGGCAGGCCTGCTGCACACCTTGTTTAATGTATGCTGGGAACTGAAGCGGGTACCGGGAGACTGGTGCAAAGCCGTGATAGTCCCAGTATATAAGGGAAAAGGGTCGCAGCAGGACTGTAAAAACTACCGCGGTATCAGCCTTCTTAGCATCGTGGGAAAATTGTATGCCAAGGTACTAATTGAAAGGGTCATGAAAGAAACCGATGGAAAAATTTGGGATGTGCAAGCGGGATTTAGAAAGGGAATGGGATGTACAGATCAAGTCTTCTCCATGCGCATGATCGCGGAGAAGTTTTTGGCCAAAAACCAAAAGGTTTTTTGTGCGTTCATGGACTTGGAGAAGGCCTATGACAGAGTGGATAGGAATGTGCTATGGCAAGCACTGAACTCATTTGGGTTGAGCGCTGGCTTGATACAGGCATTGGAATCTCTTTATAGGGACTCTAGTGCTTGTGTTAGGATCAACGGGGTCTACTCCGACTGGTTTGGCATCCATAAAGGTGTCAGACAGGGCTGTGTGGCTTCTCCGTGGTTGTTCAACCTATTTATGGACAGTTGTTTGCAAAATTTGAAAGTTGAAGAATGCGGATTAAGAATGGGTGAGTTAACCATCAAATGCCTTTTGTACGCCGATGATCAAGTTATTCTTGCGTCGTCGGCGGCTGAGTTGCAAATGATGGTTACATTAATGAACAGATCATTAAAAGAAAGGGGTATGAAAGTGAACGCAAGTAAGACGAAAATTATGGTTTTTGAAAGAGATGAAAGTAAAACGATATGTGAAATAAGAATAGATGGGGAGTTGATCGAGCAAGTAGATGAGTTTGTATATTTGGGTTGCGTATTTAGCAGGGATGGGAGATATGATAAGGATATAGAACGACGAGTGAACGCAGGAAACAGAGTAAATGGGGCCCTGCACTCTATTGTGAAGAGTCAAAATGTGTCAAAAAAGGCACGTATGGCAATTCACAATGCTGTGTTGGTCCCTACTTTAACGTATGGTAGTGAAAGTTGGGTGTGGCAGAAGAAGCACGAGAGTAGAATAAATGCAGTAGAAATGCGGTCGTTAAGGAGTATGTTAGGGCTGAATCTGAATGACAGGGTGAAGAATTGTGTGATAAGAGAAGAGTGTGGTTTGCAAGATGATGTTGTGACCAGGATTAAGAAAGGAATGCTTCGGTGGTTTGGTCATGTGGAAAGAATGGATGAGGAAAGAGTGACAAAGAAAATTTATGTTGCAGAAGTGAATGGCAGAGTCGGAAAGGGACGTCCTAGGCGAAAATGTATCGACCAAATTGGCGATTTATTGAAAACGGGCCAAATTAGGAGTACCCTTAACCGACGAGCATGCATGCGTAGATGTATGGATGTGAAGGAGGCGAGAGAGGTGTGTCAGGATCGTGCCAAATGGAAGTCTGTAGTCTCTGCCTACCCCTCTGGGTGACAGGCGTGAGTGTTTATGTATAATCGAGGATAGATGTTGATGTCTATGGGCCACAGCAACCACTCACCATCACCATGTGTGCTCGTTTGTCAACCTATCCTATAAAATAAAATCTTCATGTAATGATTATTATTCAACAGAAACTGATTTAGTTGATATGAAATAAATTTTCGTTAATATATTTATTTTGTGTAGTAAATTGTATTTATTTTAAAATCGCTTATTTTTCACTTCATGAACTATTGATTTCTTAATGATTTCTTATATTTACGCGAACACTACACATTGATTAAAACTACTTTTACGGATTTTATCGCGTTTATTTTACTATTATTTTTAATTCCCGACGTTTCGGGCGCTTTCCAGCATCCATGGTCACGGGGGACTGAGATGACTGACGTCCCGATGTCGTTGTTAAACCCGGAGTACCTTCAGCTTTTTTAATTATTGTTTATGTTCCGATCTATGCAAAATGAATTGACTATGTCCTGAGGTCTTGCAGTGGTATGCTTGGGTTTAGTTTTAATTTTATTGATTATAGGATCCCAAGCAGGTGGTAGTACCCAGCCTCCTTCTTTATTGAAATTAGGATGTTTTTTAATTTCAATAGCCTGACGTATCATCCTTGGTAGGAATCGGTGTTCTTTCGCGAGGATTTGTGGTCTATCAAATCTGATGTAATGGTTGGGGCGGTCTAGGATATGATCGCAAACTGCAGACTTCCCGGAACGTTGATGCTTCACATCAGCTATATGTTCTTTTACGCGGGTTCTAATTGATCTTTTTGTTTGTCCTATATAAGAGAGACCACATTCACAAACAAGCTTGTACACTCCTGCATCTTGTAGAGGAATATGACACTTGACTTATGGTAGGAACTGACTAATCTTCTTCGACGGCTTGTAGAATGTTCTAATAGAAGCTCGCTTCAAAATGTAGCCAATCTTGTCTGTGACACCTCTGACATATGGTAGTACAGCAGGCACACGCTCGACTGTGGCCGGCTTCACTCGGTCACTGTAACGTAGGCGCGGGACCCGAAGCTTGTTGTCGTGCAGAACTTGCTTGACGTGCTGAAGCTCGGTGGCCAGGTGTTTGCTGTCACAGATTCTTCGTGCTCTCTGTAACAAAGATTTGCCCACGGTAGCTAACTGTGAAGTATGGTGGTGAGATTCACCGTTTAAATATCGGTTTTTATGGGTCTTTTTCCTATACACAGTGTGACCAACGGTGTTGTTAGGATTTCGGATGACTAAAACATCTAGGAAAGGTAAGGAATTATTTGCCTCTAACTCCATAGTAAATTGAATTTTAGAGTTTATGGAATTAAGATGTTCTAAAAATGCAGTTATAGTCCTCTTGCTCAGAGGACACACAAGAGCACACACTAAGGATTCATACGATTTTTTCAGTGAGATAAAAGACCTACGTCTTACTGACAATGAAACCATGGTCAGTTTTGATGTTCAGTCTCTATTTACATGCCTACCTGTTGAAGACTGCGTCTCAATTATAACTAGGAAACTAAAGGAAAATAATATGCCAGCAGAATATGCAGTACTACTCAGACATTGCCTTACATCTGGCTATCTATTGTGGAAGGAAGAGTTTTACAAGCAAGTAGATGGTGTTGCGATGGCCTTACCTGTATCTCCCATTGTAGCCGATATATTCATGGAAGACTTTAAGGAGAAAGCCCTCCTTACTACACCTGTTACACCAAGGATCTACAAGATAATTCCTTACCTTTCCTAGATGTGTTAGTCATCCGAAATCCTAACAACACCATTGGTCACACTGTGTATAGGAAAAAGACCCATACAAACCGATATTTAAACGGTGAATCTCACCACCATACTTCACAGTTAGCTACCGTGGGCAAATCTTTGTCACAGAGAGCACGAGGAATCTGTGACAGCAAAAACCTGGCCACCGAGCTTCAGCACGTCAAGCAAGTTCTGCACGGCAAAAAGCTTCGGGTCCCGCGCCTACGTCACAGTGACCGAGTGAAGCCGGCCACAGTCGAGCATATGCCTGCTGTACTACCATATGTCAGAGGTGTCACAGACAAGATTGGCTACATTTAGAAGCGAGCTTCTATTAGAACATTCTACAAGCCGCCGAAGAAGATTAGTCAGTTCCTACCATCAGTCAAGTGTCATATTCCTCTACAAGATGCAGGAGTGTACAGGCTTGTTTGTGAATGTGGTCTCTCTTATACAGGACAAACAAAAAGATCAATTAGAACCCGCGTAAAAGAACATATAGCTGATGTGAAGCATCAACGTTCCGGGAAGTCTGCAGTTTGCGATCATATCCTAGACGGCCCCAACCATTACATCAGATTTGATAGACCGCAAATCCTCGCGAAAGAACACCGATTCCTACCAAGGATGATACGTGAGGCTATTGAAATTAAAAAACATCCTAATTTCAATAGAGAAGGAGGCTGGGTACTACCACCTGCTTGGGATCCTATAATCAATAAAATTAAAACTAAACCCAAGCATACCACTGCAAGACCTCAGGACATAGTCAGTTCATTTTGCATAGATCGGACCATAAACAATAATTAAAAAAAGCTGAAGGTACTCCGGGTTTAACAACGACATCGGGACGTCAGTCATCTCAGTCCCCCGTGACCATGGGTGCTGGAAAGCGCCCGAAACGTCGGGAATTAAAAATAATAGTAAAATAAACGCGATAAAATCCGTAAAAGTAGTTTTAATCAATTCATGAACTATGCTGGCAACACTTGGTATTTTACAAAAATACGAGTTAAAAGTATTCACAGATGAAAATTCACGTTGTCCTTTTGTAGACTTGACGTTTTTAAGTGGTTTTTGCATGAAAATATATTGCAATTCGAATTTTTGTCGGCAAATTCATTTATTTATTAAGATTAATTGCCGTATATGGGATGACACCATTTAATAATGCATCCTCAAAAAGTTACCGTTTGGTGTAGTTTTTAGGCCGGCGCTGCGACGTTATTGGTCCGTACTTTTTCGAAAACGACGCTGGTGAGGCGGTCACCGTCTACGGCGAGCGCTAGAGAACGATGATATCCAATTTCTTATAGCCCAAATAGAACCATATTGACCTAGACGACATGTGGTTCCAGCAGGACGACGCAACGTGCCACACAGCGGATTTCACGATTGACATTCTCCATGAGCGATTTGAGGGTAAGCTTACCTCATGCGATTTGACCCCGCTAGAATTTTTCTTGTAGGGTTTCTTGAAGTCGCAGGTCTATGCAAACAAACCACAATCGACCGATGCCCTAAAGGTGAACATAACACAGGCCATCGCACAAATTTAACCTGATCTATCCAGAAGAGTTATTGAAAATTGGATCACTCGGATCTGTGCTTCTGAAGCCAATGCAGGCATTTGAACGATGTCATATTCCACACTTAATGACTCGTGTGGGCCTTTCAATTAAAAAAAGAATTTTGTTTATACCTAACCCACAGCTTGTTTTATTTTATTTCAACATCTACCCGCCCTTATTGAAAAAGATAACATAGAGTAATTAGACTTAGGGTGATAGTGTCATTCAAAATTCCGTTCAAAGTTAAAGCAACAACGCAATGAATGTGTGCATAAGCGGCCTATAATTACGTTTGCCCACACGCACACAAGCGATAGAGTAATGTTTGCAAGTAAATGACGTTTTCTCCAAAAATTGGGAAATTGGCCCTTTGTATCAAAAATAAATATTATTAAAATAAATATTTGTTAACTAATGTTTTATTTAAATTATCTATATACGTAATATCTTGTGATATAATATTAATATATATTCACAAATTTATTATGTCATTATATTATTCTGTTAGAAGTGATATATTTATAAATAGTATACAGTATTATATATTTATATTAATATATAATGCACTTTATTAAATAGGCGTTTTATATTAAAACGAAATAAAATTCGGAAGAAGAAAAGCTTTTCAAATAAAACATGAACTTAAACATATTTGTTAAATAACTATATATCCAAGTACTTAAACAATAAATAAAAATACCTATTTACGCGTAAATATTGTAGGTATTTTTATTTGCCAAATAAAAATACAACAATAATAGTTCCATATTGGCAGCATGTAATTACAATAATAAGAAAATATGGGGTAAAATGTTTTACTATGCCATACATTTTCATTATATTGGCGTCTGTCAAATTTACGATTTATTATTTTGGTTTGATGAATGTTTTTTACAAAAATATACGATGCTACGCAGTATTGACCCGTGAAATGAGATTTTTAAAAAAATCATGATTATGTGATGAGTTGTGACACCCTTTCACAGCACAGTACGTTATTTGTTTGCAAAATTGCGCGAGTTCTTTTTGTTGACTCGGCTTGGTACTCGTTTAACCGATCATGCGGGTAGATCTATCTTTGCTTTGGCATATGGTCTGACACAACTGGTTACCTCGCCTACGTGGATCCCAGATGTGGAAGATCATGTACTTTCCCTGTTAGACCTTCTGCTGGACTCTCATCCGGACGGATATCAGGTCTCCGTCGATGCCCCTCTTGGCTCCTCGGACCATTGTCTGGTCCAGAGTACGGTGCCACTCAAGCACTCATCGCGGTTGCGTACTGCAGGTTGTCGTCGTGTTTGGCATTATAGGTCAGCAAACTAGGACGGGATGCGATTTTTTATTGCATTCTACCCCATCTTATCCCAGCGTTGTTGCTGATTCTGTCGCTGATGTGGTGCTTGCGTGCTACAGGGAATGGAACTTTTTATTCCATCATCTGTGGTACCTATCAGAGGCATAACCCAGCCTTGGTTTGGTCGCTCCTGCAAAATTGCACTACGTCATAAGCACGAGTGTTACCAGGCCTGGGCTCGCGCATCGACGTCTCGGGATGCAAATACCAGCGCCCTTAAAAAGAAGTACAATTCCGCCTCCAGGTCCTTCAAAAGTGTCATTGTCAAGGCAAATACAGAGCACGTCGGCAGAATTGGTGAGAAAC